TGAACAAATGAGGGTTCAGAGCTTTGTTGCAATAGGACTATGTGAGAGACTTTTTCCAGCAGTGTGGCAATAAGAGGCTGGCTTAAAGTAGGGACACCTGCATATTGCACAAAGCGCTGGCCTAAGGCTGGATGAATGTGCCATTTGAATGATAAACATTCTGAGTCTGTCCCTTAACTACTGAGAAGCTCAGTTCCAGTTACTTCAAGATCAAGATGCTGGGAGTAACCATCTTCAGTTCTCTCCACTGCTCTGCTGCTGTCACAAACTGTCAAATCAGCCTACTAACAGGGCTTCAGCCCAACTCCATGCTTTCTCTATATCTGGGGACAAGGGCCAATCACTATGGGGGGCCCTGGTTGTTTCAATATTAAAAGTTGACTGAACAAGCCATGAGCTTTCTGATGGCCAAGGACTCACTTCTTTGCATCCTCCACAGCCTGGCAGAGAGCGCGCCCAATACATTAATTTGATAAGTTGATTAAAAGTTACCAAAGAGGAGGAAAGAAAATCTTTTGTGGTAAATAGAACACTTATGGGGCAGCCTGGGTGGCTCAGTGGTTTAGCGCTGCCTTCAGCCTGGGGCTTGATCCTGGAGACCTGGGATTGAGTCCCACGTTGGGCTCCCTGCAAGGAGCCTGCTTCTCCATCTGCCTGTGTCTCTGCCTCTCTCTTTCTCTGTCTCATGAATGAATGAATGAATGAATGAATGAATGAATAAATAAATAAATAAATAAATAAATAAATAAATAAATAAATAAATAAAATCTTTGAAAAAAAATAGAACACTTATGCACTGAATCCCAGATGTCAGTGGATTCTGGACTCTGAGTAACGGGAACAGGCCACAGGGTGAGTGGAAAATGGACTGAGAGAACCTAAGGAAGGTTAGTGCAGACCTCATTCTTGTCTTTGTTGGCAATTATTAGTATAAAGGCAGCTGGAGAAAAACCCAAAGCAATGGAGATAATCAGGCTGATCACCCAACTGAATGGTTCCTTTTCTGTTTCCAGCTTGAGGTAATCTGCTACCCAGACTTTGAGAGCTTCTAAAACTAGGCCCAGCTAAACAGCTGAAGCAGGAAGAGAAGTGTTAGTCTCCATAGCAAGCAGAAAGTGTAAAACGACCAACTAAAATAGCAGTCACTTTTCTTGTGACAATTAGTGTAATTAGGTCTGAAAAGACTGTTTCTCAATTCTAATCTTAAAAAGGTGGAAATCTCACCTATCTCACCACATACCAGTTCCTCAGAACAATGGAATTGCCCAGGAAATCTTCCTATTTTAAATGTTTTTATGGTTCTGGAAACTTCTATAGCATTTCTCTCCTGGGAATAATCCCTTGTGTGCTTGTGGCTATGTTCTGGAAAGTACAGGTCATTAACACTTTACAGAAGTGGTGTGCAGGGATAGAAAGATGAAGGCTTGGGAGTCAGATCTCAGTTCAAAATTTTGGCACGTATTTTACACAGGATTGAGACCAGTTATTTATCTGAGCCTTTCTAATTCCAAGTCTGTAAAACAGGACCAATAAAATTGTCCCCACAGGACTATCCTAAGGAATATTATGGCCAGAAGGGTCCTGGCCTGTAGTAGATGCTCAATAAATAAAGGTCCCTTCCCCAGGCTAATGCAATGAGCTCCAATAGTAAGACTGCATATCTTACCAAACAACTCCAATGATCAGGAATCTAAGACATGTGTGGGAGGAAAATACTAGAAAGAAGCAAACTGCTCACACTGAATCAGACTCTGGCCTTCCCTAGCTTCCAAGTCCAGTGCAATGGTCCCCACTACTGTGCTGAACAGCCTAACAGAATGTTCATGAAGCAGATTTGGGTCCAAATCCTAGTACAGCCACTTACTAGAAGCAGGACTGCAGGCATATAATGTCAGCTCCGTTCCATCATTTTAAAACAAGTAACAGGGCAGCCCAAGTGGCTCAGCAGTTTAGCACCACCTTCAGCCCAGGGTGTGATCCTGGAGACCCGGGATCGAGTCCCACGTCAGGCTCCCTGCATGGAGCCTGCTTCTCCCTCTGCCTGTGTCTCTCTCTCTGTGTCTCTCATGAATACATAAATAAAATCTTTAAAAAAAATAAAATAAAACAAGTAACAACAGGAGTATGGTATGAATTCACCTATATAAAATGCTTAGCGCTATGCCAAGCACAAGTCAATACCCAATAAATATTATCACATCCCCGTTTATCACCTAGCCAGCAGAACTCCAGCGGGTGACAGTTTGAGGAAAAAAATATACCTCTAAGGGGCAAAGCCATCAAGAAGAATCTCGGTAGTGTGAAATGCATAGCTTAAAGAGTAAAAATCAGCCTTTGTGACATTCACTCTTCGGGAGAGTGGCCTATATTAGTAGACCAGCAAGTTGATACATGGACCAGAGCTTGCACCACTCTAGAATCAGCTAGTGCTGGCTAGGAAGAAACATGTAAAGAAGGTAACCCTGTGTTATAGGCTAGACACTACCCACTTTTTCCTTAATCTTTTCTTCTTCCTTCCCAGGGTCGGGGGCGAGGGGGGGGGTTCTCCTGCAGGTACTTGATTTTCCAAGGTCCCTCACTTATTCATTGCAACCTAGCCTCTTCTCCAGCTTCCTCCCCCTTCCACCTAGACCAATGGTCTTCAAATACCATTCCAGGTACCAAGGCTAGATCACCTGCATAAGAACCACATGAAAAGTTGTTAAAAATACAGCTTCTCAGAAGTTTCCACCCTCAAGGAATCTGGTCCAGCAAATCAGAGATGGGGCCTGGTGACCCAATTTTTTTTATAAGTTCCCCAGTAATTCTTAGGTATCATCAGATTTGGGGATTACACCAAAAATCAATTTTACCCCTCCTGCAGCCCAGTTGTTCCAGGCCTTTCTTTCCCCTGACCTATCTAAAAACCTCATTTGTATTTGGGCCCATAAATCATTAACTGGTGCCAACTTTACGTTCTCCTTCCAAGATCTTATATAAAGGACATGTTAGATCATGAACTAAAATGAAAAATTTCCAGAGAAATGAAGGGATATTCAGAATCCCCCTCAGTCTGTTCTTTATAAATGGAGCTAACCCTATAAAACACTGTGGGCTCCAGCTCTCCTATCCTCTACCCACTTTCCTGGTAGAAAGGCCAATGTAGCCAAGAAGGGACATTCAGCACTTGAAAGTTGGAAGCAAAGAGGTACCATCAATGTGCAGAGTCAACAGTGAACACTGGACTGCGCATCAAAGGCCAGGCGCCACCCAGGGCATCTTAGATTATCTCATTCAGCATTCCCATCTCTGAGTAAGTATTATCCCAGTTTACAAATTGAAAAATGGAGATGCAAAGAAATTTACTTGCCCAAATTCAGAGTGGACAAGTGGCTGAGCAGGACAGAAAAGAATGTTTCATAGGAACCAGAGCATCTGTGAGGGTGTGAAACATTAGATTCCCCAGAGAGAATATTCGGAAAAAAAGAAGACAAGACTTTCAAAAGGAGGAAGAAAGAAATTGCCTAGCAAGAAACCAGCAGTGTCCTCCAGACTTTTCAGGTGGGAATTACTAAAACTAGAGCTTTGAGGCGTCTTTCTGACCTGTGGCATAGGACGTGCAGGGCCTTTCTGCTCTCCCATTTGGGCTGATACAGATGGGAGCAGGGCAACAAGAAGACTGCTACCTGGACTGGAGTTCTAAAAAAAAACTAAAAGAACCAATGAGCTCTTGAAGATGGCAAAGTGGCTGAGGCTGGCTTTTATTCAGGCTGCCCAAGTTAGGACAATAGGGTCAAAGAAGCCAGTAGTTCTACGGAAACTCTGTCCAGGCACACTTATAATCTGAAACCACAATTCTCCCCCAAGTCCAGAAAGCATCTTAAGTAAATCAAAATGGACCAAGACCCATTTCAAGGTGTCAGAACTTCCCTTAAGTCTGACACTCATTTCTGTTCTCTGCCCTTCTAGTCCTTTTCCAAAACACTCTGCAGAGCTGGAACTGCAATTAAATACCTCCTCCTCAGAAACGTAGTCTGAAGCTGACTGACCTTGGATTGTTTTTCCTCCTGTTCAGTTTCGGAAAGGAGGTTGTCCCCAGCACACCTGTTCTTTATCCTGGGCCTAATGGAACAAGTCCTATGGCTGAACAGTCATTTTTAATTTCGACACTATCGTTAAGAACCAACACTTAATTCATGGGCGCTGCTAGCAATGCAAAAACTTCCTCTGTAAGATGACTTTCCATTAGGATTTCCATCAGATTTTTAAAGAGATCAAAACATTCTCCTCAACCACCATTAGCCAGTTGTCCAGCCAGAAATGATCCAATGGAGACCGACAGTCTGTTTTCAGCTTGAAATAAACCTGATTCCAGTGACACACATGGGGGATGAGGTCTCCCTCCCACCCCAATTCACAATGCCTGATGAAACCCCCCGGGTCTCACAAATAGTCTTGCCATCCACTGGCAAGCCGAAAGGCTCATTCCTCTGCAGAGAATGGATGGCATTAATTCCCAAAGACTCAAAGCACAGCCTCTTTAAGAAGCCTCCATTTGGAAAAGATATTTAAGCAAAGCTGTGCTTGATGAAGTGAAATAGAATTAGCTGCTTCAGTGGCACAGGCTTCTCAGCTTCATTCTAAGGTAGGCTGGCTTGTTCGCTTCCAAGTGGAAAGAACTCAACAACAATAGATCACAGTTAACTGTGATCACGGCTCCGTGGAATTTCAGCTGGTGCCTGGGGTACACAGAGGTGCACTTACTATTCCCCAATCTGTCATCAACCTTTTGTACATTTGTTCCTAATCACAGGATACTGTTTCATCTTAATGAACTGTTTTCTTAGCATATTACGGTTGGTCATTTCAGCACATCTAATGGCCCATTTGGTAGGTTAAATGACAATTAGGGTCCCTTGGTTTTTATTTCCCAGCAAGGCCTGGAGGGGTTTGATAGCTGTCCCCTTCCCACTACTCATTTTCAAGGACAGAATCACTAAAAAACAAAAGCACAGACATACCTGTTGCAGTCGATGTGGAGCAGGAGATGAGAGGCACTGACAGACAGCGCGACCTTATGCCACTGTCCATCTGCCAGCCGGTACGGAAGGGCCTCGGTCCTAGGCTTCCCATTATGCATATAGTGGTATCGGATCTCATCCCTCAGACCACTGCTCTCCAGTTCAAAATAGCTACATGTAAAAGAAACGGGAATTTGATTTTAGTTCTGGAACTCACAGTCATCAATCCTAGCTTCTTCACTACCACCTTTCTCAGCATCTGTAAGTAGCTACACGTGGACACAAAGATCTGCCAACCAAAAATCAATTGTACTGCATGGAATCCAATTCACCTACTGTTGGAGAACCTCACCATGACACATTGAGCCTCCAAAATGGAGAATGACTGATCCACTGTGAAGTGATCTCCACAAGCTAATTACCTAAGCTTGGTGCAGAGTCTCTTCCAATACTTAGAAGTACAGTTCAGAACCCTCTATTGCCTAAAAAAAAGGCTATTCATGTGGAATGGACTTAAGGATGCTTATTTTTATTACTGCCATATTTACATTTTCAAGAATTAAAGGAAAGCAAATCACATTGGGTATCAGGAACTGAAATAAATTGAGATAACTTTACTAAACACATTTCCCCCAAACAGCTTTAAGTGGACAATTCCTAGATAATGAGTAGGGAAGGGATGACTGAAGCTATTCACATGTGGGCCAGTATTTTAAATCATTGTGTCATGAAACATGCAATTGAGTCTTTTCTTTCCCCAGATTGTGGTCACGTTTTCCAGATCCGTGAAAAACAGTACCACCGCCGCAGTCTGGACTTTTGTCATAAAATGCAGAAGTTTGGGACATTCCTCAGGCAGGCTTCAGGGCTGATACTTTGAGTGGCAGACCATTTAGTCTAAGCCTCTTCTGAAATGCGTCATCATTGTCATTACATCAGGCCTAATCTCACTGCCAGGCATGACACTACGCATTTAACATACTATCTAACTCATCACCCTACACACCTAGAAGGCTGATACTATCCCTTTATAAATACTAAAAAAACTGAGGTTCTGGAATTCATCTATCCAAACCACAATTTAAACACAGATCTAAATTTGACAGCCCCCATGCTTTCTACCAGCTTGCTGTCCATCTCAGGGGCGCAATGACCAACTAGTAAAGACAGCCTCAACTGGCATCCTCTCCCAGCAATTCATTTGTACAAATGACTCAAGAATGACCTGCCTATGTAGGGAGGAGCTAGGTTCTATCCCTAGATTTGAAAGGATCAGTTTCTCTTCTAATCAGCTGGGTTGGCCTAACCCCATTAGCCAGACCTTAATTTCACCTAAAACACAAAAAGCATTTCTATGAGCCCTGATAGGAATAGATCATGAAATTCAGCCTCTATTAGGCAGGACTTCCAAGTCACGTGACAAAGAACAAATGCATATTTCCTGCTTATCTTTCACAGGGATCCTCCCAAGAGAGCACTGCTGAGAAAGACCACTCTGACCTACCTCACACTAGACAAAGAATCAGGCCCAAGGTCATAAACCGAGGTGGTTTCTTATACTACTGCAGCCAGCTCCTGGACTCAGGTACACACTTATTAGTAATATAATACATATTTTATAAGATTGCAAAATAGAAAATCCCTTAACACGGCAGATACTCATTTTAAGGGAATTCTCTAAATTGCTTCTAAGCAGCTAGAACATTGAAAGAATCAAAATCAGAGAATTTAAAAGGTCAGGAAGACCTTAGAGATTATCTGGTCATTTATTAATTTATTCAACATTTTGTTACTGAACACATGGTAAAGGGCTAAAAAAGGATTTAAAACATAGACCCTGTTCTCAAGATGCTTTGAGACTAGCAAAAAAGTCAGAAACAAATCGAAGACAAAGGAAGCTGTCATTTCATGTGCTAGGAATGGACCAGCTGCTTACGTAAATGTCATCTCATTTAATTTCTTCAAGGTAGATATTTTTTAATCCCTGTTTTACTGAGGAGTTCACTTGTGATTAGGGAAAGTACCTTACCCAGTTCTGGAATAGAAAGGCACCATGATTTTGTGTAAGAGACCTCACCAAGATCATCATAAGAAATCTCTGAATTATTTCATTTAGACCAATAAGCTACTGCTCCAGGAAGGGATAGGATCCTAAAAAGGATGTCAAAGACAATTAAAAATGCTCTTACAGATCACCTGATAGAATTTAAAAAAAAAAAGACAAAGGGAGGCAAATATGTTTAACCAGATTCAATCACTATTCCTGGGGTTATGACTTCATTGAGCAGGAGCTCTTGATAAGCATACCTTTTTTTAAAAAAATAATAATAAAATTATTTTTTATTGGTGTTCAATTTGCCAACATACAGAATAACACCCAGTGCTCATCCCGTCAAGTGTACCCCTCAGTGCCCGTCATCCATTCACCCCCACCCCCCGCCCTCCTCCCCTTCCACCACCCCTAGTTCGTTTCCCAGAGTTAGGAGTATTCATGTTCTGTTTCCCTTTCTGATATTTCCTGCTGAGTGAAATAAGTCAATCGGAGAAGGACAAACATTATATGGTCTCATTCATTTGGGGAATATAAATAATAGTGAAAGGGAATAGAAGGGAAGGGAGAAGAAATGGGTAGGAAAGATAAGCATACCTTTTAATGATTACTCTACCAAGCACTGGATCCAGTGGTTACCTGGGGTAGTCTCAAACATACAGCTCAAAGAGAAGCAATCTGCCCTATTGTTAGGCAAAACGGATACCTAGGTCTTAGGGGAAAGTTTCCGACAGCATCATGCACACATTCAAGAAGTGCTGTATTTCAAACTTAGATCAGGTCAAGATGAGGTTTTTGGGTTTTTTTTTTTAAATACATCAGATAACTGCTGAAGTGGTCCTCGACATGGCAAGGACACTGCATGGCTAACTCTATCTGGGTGAGACGGTTTCATACATGCTGGGAGGGGAATAAGGCAGTATTTCCAGAACTTCAAAGCAACTTGGAGGCCTGATGACCCTTGGCTATCACCTGGAGGGAAGACTCATGATTTGCAGTGGAGCCTTGATATTCAAAGTATGGTCCTTGTTATCCACAGTGTGGTCCACACACCAGCATCACCACCACCTGAGGAAATTCAGACTGTGCGGCTTCAGCCAAGATTACATGAGTCAGAATCTCCATTTTAGTAAGACCCCCCCCGGATGATTCATGTGCACATTAAAGTTTAAGCAGCACTATAGCTGAGTATAGCAGGTGTCGCTTTACTTCCTGGCCAGCTGGTTACGGTAAGGGAGGCAGCAGTTTGGATGCTATGAGCAAGCAAGAGCCCTGCCGTGCTGGCAGGGAGAAGGAGGGGACTGGAGGTGATCATATGAAAGAGAATCTAGTAAGCTCTCTGCCCCTGACCAGTCCTCCTCCTTTAGCCTCAAGTGCTTAGAGTTCGACTGTGGATTTGGGGAAGTGGTCAACTGTATGAGTGATAAAAAATCACCAGCCAGACTTGTAAGCAGCACTTCTCCTTTAGCTTTGGGCTTCAGCCAAGTTCTCAGCCAATGAACTACCGTGGCTCCCAGAAAAGTCATCCTGTGAATATTTGAAAACAGCAATGACATTCACAGCCGAGTGCCTTTTTCAGACCAAACAACCCTAGCATCTTCCTTATAACCCTGTACACCACCTAGTCAACAAAGGCCCTCCTGGACATTGATTCTCTGCCTTACTCCTCTTTCCACACCCTCCCCCAATGTTGCTCACCATGCTCCAGCTATAGGAAAATGAACTGGTTTTCCCCTTCAACATAGCCTCTAGCAATACGGACCATCGGGGCTGTGCACAACCACGAGTATATCCTAATGCTCGCAAGGACCTTCCCATCATCTAACACTGCAAACCATTTCACACAAAATGTCATGAAGGTGAGCTTTCCCACCCTGTATCTATACAGCTAGATTTTTTTTTTTAACTCACACCCTTGCTTGGAGACCCTATCCCACCATCAGCATTCGTAAAGCCCATCACTGAGCATTATGAACAGAGTCACTATGAAGTTTTACAATACTACCTGAATTTCATGCTATGTTGAAGAAAAAATTTAGGAAAAAATCCAATTACTTAGATCTAGATCAGCCAAGTTATTTTTTTCAACTTTTTGTCCTTTTCCCCAAAACTTATTCTAAGGGATCCATTTTTTAGTTTATTAGACAAAAGAAATTAAGGATTTGAACTTCATACAGCTGTAAGTGGCAGGACTCGAACCCCAGTCTGGTACATGCTCTCAACAGCAACACCCCATTACTTTCTACTATGTAAGAGTCTTTAAATATATTACCACCTCTCGTTTTGCCAGCAATCTTAAGTGGTGGATATTAAATTCACGTTTTAAGGTAAAAACCAGGTTCAAGTTGATACAGTGCCTTGCCCAAAGTCATGTAACTTCTAAGACTTAAACCCACGTCTACTGAGTTCCAGGATTCACATTCTTCTCACTACATTGTATTCTTCTCCAGGTACAAGGATATGATCTCAAAGTCAGAGGGCAAGAGAATTCAGATAGAATCCACTCTCCCAGCCTTGGTCCCCAAGATGCTCCCATCCTGGCAAAGAATGCTCCAGCAGACTCAAGTGCCAGCCCTCATTCCTCATGCCATGATAAAGTTCTCAGCATTTTTTTAAATGCTGTGGGTTTCACACAGAATCTCATTTCCCCTCTTCTGGCTCTTTGCCTACTGCTGGTTAAGGAAGAGAAGCTGCCAAACATGCTAGGAAGCTATATGGTGTCCCACCTCCAGCCAGGAGTCTGAAGGACTGTGTGCACTTTTTTGGGGGGAAAAAGGCAATAGCATAATTTGGAGTAATATCACAAAGAACACTGGCCCAAGGTTACCATGACTTGATGTCCACCTTACAACCTGCTTCAAACCATGAGGTCTTTGGCAAATATATCCCTTCCCCTCTGTACTTCGGTTTCTCCTATCCATTAAATGATCAGATCTGAGCCTCAACACCCCAGCATTCCTTGGAGAAGCTTTAGGTTCTAACGCACAGGAAACAGACTAAGCACCAGAAAAGCTTCACTCTGTTGTATAATTTAGAGTTTCCCATAAGATTTCATTTAGATAAAAGAGATGCACTTCCAAAGATAGTCTAAAACCAGTTAACTAAGTAATCTTTAGGGTCC